AAACCCTAATAAACCCTAATAAACCCTAAAAACCCTAATAAACCCTAATAAACCCTAATAAACCCTAATAACCCTAATAAACCCTAAAACCCTAATAAACCCTAAAACCCTAATAAACCCTAATTAATAATGCCCTAATCGAAGGATCTGGAATGAGCCTGGGCCTAATCCTGTATAATTAAGCTATTATATTGAGCATACTTTCGACTGTGTTTAAGCTATTACACACAGGGACTTGTCACGCAGGGCTTCTAACTACTGAATATTGCAATTCCTCAGGCATCCGCACTGCCTTAGTGCCTTAGTGCCTTGGTATGAACCGAGTGCCTCGGGTATATAGATTTAAAAAGTATAAAAATCTTTTAATATTATACAAGAAGTTTTCAAGGAAGATTAATTGTTAAAAGAACTTTTTTATCTGTCGATAGATTGTTCTTTTCTTAGTAAATTCAACTTTTACTTACCTGCCTATTACCTTGAGTAGCTCTTGGGCTTTTAAGCCTGTCACAACTATGCTTTATAAAATGTTATGCATCAGGAGTCACAGGAGGAAGATACCGCACCAGTTCGGCGAAATCAACCGTATCCTCCCCAGTTAGCGTCCAGTCTGAGTGATCAAAGACAGGCCGATTCTGTTCACTCTCCGTGCCCTCGAAAAATGAAAATGGCTCGATTGGGAAGTCGGCGAAGATATCATTGCTAGAGCCAAAGTACGATGCGGCCCCTAGACAGAGTTCGTTATTCTGAGGTTCTTCCTCATTGTCCAGGGTCTGTTGCTGTGATTGTTGATCAATGATTTTATCTGGGCCTCCCCGAGGTGCAACGGCAGCCCTAGCCCCCGCAGCTATGGTTGTGGCGGGCTGTTCAGTGAGCTGTTCGTTGGGAAAGGCGGACGGCAGCGCGGAGGATGAATTGGGCACAACAGGACATTTTGGTGCGACCGCTCCGTTACTGAACGCAGAAACTAAGTCTGCCATTCTGGGATCATTCGAAGATGGGTGTTGTACGGCAGACAAATTGCCCCAGGCCTTTTCAAGTTCCCGGAGCCGCTCCATGGCGAAAGGGTTTCCACGGTTAGACAGATAGCGCAGCACTTCCAGAGCTTCTGACAGGCCCGGGGACGGCGTGAAGGCCTGACCGTGGTCATTGTCGTCAGAGATCGTATTGAAGATCGCGGTCAAGAGCATGACAAATGCCGCCGAAAATGTGGCGTCGAGGTCAATGAATCCGAAAATTGCTATTGTTTCATTCCAAATTTAGAGGTTGCGGTCAGTTTCGGGTGATACAATAAAGATTGTATAACGCACCAAGAATGCCTTCCCGCTTCAAGACCAATGCTATTTCCAGGAGTCGGCGTGCAGCCTCTGTGCCAGTCCAGAAAAGCCGGCCAATAGAAAATGTCGTGATCGAAGAATGGTAGATTGGTTCGTTGCGCCGAAGAATGAGTCGAGCGACGTGTAACATGATCGGACGGATTGTTAGTAGGATAGCCTGCTCTTTGTTAGACCTCGAAGTGGTGTTGAATCTCCAGAGAAGCCCACCTGATAAAGCATGAGATGCAGGGACGCCGATGTCCTCATGGATAATCTGGGTGTTAGACTATTTATAGCTTTGGGAAAACCCAGAGGCAATTCCCTCGAGATTCTTTGCAGGTCATGGATAATAGAGTGGATGTTAGGAATTACTTCAGCTTCCGTTTGGCCGTTCCTTCGGTATAAAGCTGCAATATCCCGAAGTTAGCTGGTGTGATTAGATGGTATTTGCTGGCTAGACCTCTCACTATTGAGTATCCGACCCGTCGCTTCGGCAATAACAATATTAAGCCGGAGGGGAGAGGCGGGCACAAATCCAAAGGCTTTTTGAGGCTTCTCCGGATTGGCGAAATCATGGTTGGTGCTAGATGGATTCCCTGTTGCTGCAGCTAGACGTCTATTTTCCCGAGTTATTAGTGTGATCAATAGACCATGCAGAAAAAAGGTCATGCCTACTTCTCGTTCACGTAGATGGTCCACCAGAGACGGTTTAGATGAGTCTTTTCCGACTGGAACCGGTCACTGCCGTCACCCATCCGATGGATTCCGTGAGTGATCGCAAGTCGCAATGCGGAGTTGATCTGGGCATTATTAGATCAGTAGCTAACTCTATACGTGGTGAGCCTATCTCACATACATATAGGTATGCTTCGTCTTTCCGATTTGTGCTCTGCATATAGAAAGCAACCAAACCAAGGACCTCGACACCATGTCTTTCGGATTTATAAAGATCACTCAGGTTTGGAAGCAGTGTTTGAGCCGAAAGAAAAAGAGAGTTTCCCGGAGTCAAGGAGCAATCGTCTGATTCACCTAGAATAAGCTTGCCAACGGCGAGAACGAGGAGAATTTTCAGGTGGAAAAGCCTTCCTGTGGGTGATGAACAAAGTTGCCCTTGGTAGAAAAGATCTACATGATCTGCGAGCTCACGGATATCGAAATAATGTTGGGTGTGCCCGATGAAAAAGTCCACTGCTTCGAGTAAGCGATGAGCGTCCTCTCGCGCCGGAAGCTCGGGACTGGCGGTGGTAGAGGTTGGCGCAATATAACAATGAGATGTTCCTTTGGATGCCCCTGTATTCTTCTCTGCGGCTGGTATTAAATTCTTTTCGCGCCCCCTGGGACTTTCATTAAGCATGTCTTGGATACGAGACCCGAAAATATGGGTGGAGCTCATAGGCGTGTCTATCATGATCACTAAAAGGTACCAGTCAGCGAATATCTCTCAGACTACGAGGGGAAACGTTGTACTACACTCAGGCAACGATGGTTCACCATTTTGATCCTGCCGCATGTCAGAGTTGGGAGCTGAACTGTAATGTCGAGGCTCATAAACAGGGCTGTCGCGTGTGACCGGCGGTGGGGCTGATGAAGCAGATGCAAAATCATGAGGCGAGCCAGTTGCGCTGGACACTCTGTCAGCACCACTGGGCCTGGTTGATCCTGTTCAGTTGTGTAAGCATGGGGCCCTAGTCGTGGCCGATCCAGCATCACATCGGCTTACCAGCTGGCACGCAGGGCGTTTGCGCCTGATTGCTTTTTTCATACTGAGCCAGGCGGCTTTTCATCTCTTGGACATATCTTTATGGGAAGAAGGTAAGCCGAGGAATATTGCCCGGAACTTCATGGTGGATTACTTACTCAACTGAATAGACGCGCCTGCGTGATCGCGGAAGGTGGCATTCAAGGTCGCGTTTTCGGCAGTAGTCGCAGGGACAGCTGCCTGAGCACTTGACCTTCTTTCGGCGACACACTGCACAGCTATCAACTGTTTAGTAAATCTTCACTGCAAAGGGTTCCATCGTCGTGTAGCGTACGCAGTAGATATTTTTGATGATGCTTCTTTGTGCACCGTTGCCCGGCGAGGGCTGCAAACAAGACCCGCGGGCGGAGATTCCGACATTGACTCGGTGAGTATAGCTAGACAAGAGAAAACGTGCGCATGACGCTCTGGAACGGACTGGATAGGATGTATAGCTGGTACCGAACAACAGAATTGGAGGGATGGGGAAGTTTAGAAGATGCAGGTGCCAGTAACGCGGGGGAAAGCCGTGCCCGCTAGCTATGATCGGCAAGCAGATAAGATTAGATAGCAGTTGCGTGATAACATCAGGCAGTAGGTAATGACTTTACTACGTGCTGGATCTACTGCCGGCATGATGTTGACTCTACAATTTTGTTGGGCTATTGTCAATATCAGTTGGTTTCTCAATACTGAAAAGCATGCGCAAACGAAATAGTGTGCGATTTAGTTACACCGATCATAATCTACCCAGCTAGTACATTTACGCGATCAGCGAGAGGGAATTGGCTGCTGTAGTTATTTGACTGTCGCATAGGCAGGATCTGATCCAGATGATTGGTACAAAGCTTCAGCAAATTCGAAGAAATATAATGGGAGGGATGGTGGGTTTTGTCTTTGGCTTAGTGGATCTCTCCCGGACACGAGCCCCGAACATCGGACCTGTCGGCCATAGGGTCCGAGTGGAAACATCGGCAGAATTCTTCGTCTCTCCGGTGTCGGATCCAGACATTGCAGCGGCACACTCAGTTTGGAGAAATTCATCCAGCAGGTGATGGATTGCAAACGAGGTCTCTGTGGGGTTGTTAATGCTACAATATTTCTGGCATGAACATGGTGGATAGGTCTCAAATATAGGGCAGACGGAACGCGATGGGTATTGTCGGTCTAGTTCATAGTCTGCTTCTATCGCACCATTTTTCTGACTGCAACCTGGCTTCCGAGCCAGAGATGGCTATGCAACCTCCGGGGTTGAGGTCCGAGGCCGTAAGGGCGCTTATCACAACTATCGGACTCAATGTCCGAGAAACCTGACACTTGAAGCTACACCCCGATTAAAACAAGTAAAAAGCTAAAAACATGGATCTCACCACATTATCAATAACAGATCAGAGACATCCTGTCTACTCCCCAAAAACAATGCCTCCCGCGACAACTGCAGCAGAGGCACGTCTTGCCCAAAACAATCTCCAAGTGCTGGCAGCTTCTGGCAGAATATGCACGGCATTGGGCATTAAGATATGTCGCGGAATAGAAATCGTTCACATCGCCAAAGCCGCTGGCTACGACTCCCTGTTCATCGACCTGGAGCATACCTGCATGACCGTCAGTGATGCATCTCAGCTTTGCATCACGGCGATTTCAGCTGGAATCACTCCCTTTGTCCGAGTCCCACATCAATGTGGAAGCGGATTGATCCAACGCGTCCTTGACGTCGGTGCAATGGGCGTGGTTGCGCCGCATATCAACGGCATTGGTGAGTTGCATTCTCAGTGCCTCAAATGTAATTACTAATTTGATTGAAATAGAGGATGCCAAAGAGGTGATCTCGGTCTCAAAATACCCTCCCTTCGGAACACGATCACTGAGCGGCGGCTTTCCTCATTTCGAGTACGCGTCTCCTAGTCCGGGCTTTCTCATGGAACAGATGAACAGGTCCGGGTCCCAATGCTTCATCATGATTGAGACTGTCAAGGCACTCGAGGCGGTCGATGACATTGCCGCGCTTCCCGGGTGTGACGTGCTGCTAGTTGGATCACAGGACCTGGCGACAGCAATTGGCACGCTACCGGACTGGGACGATCCGCGCTTTTGGAACGCTTTGGAGGCTGTTGGGAATGCGGCGAAGAAGCATGGCAAGCTGATGGGAATTGCTGGACTATACCATCGGCCTGATATCCTTGAGAAGGTAATCAAGGAGCTGGGAGCTAGGTGGATTGTTGGCGGACACGATGTGGGATTGCTTTTGACTGGTGGTAGGGCAAATAGTGACCTTCTCAAAAGGCTTCAAAGCCAGGTAGCTGGTAGATAGGAAGGGGGGATCGCGAGCTGAAGTTTTATGTGTTCCATAAGAGAACATTCTTAGGCCATACTGAGATCATTTGGTTCATACTGGGAAGCAGACTTGGCCGTGTGTCACATGAGATCAATCTTGATAGCATGCTTGGCAACTACAACTCATTTCCAATGAAGTAGGATATTTTCGACAAAAGGTGAATTCATGTTTCTCCTGCATAGTCTCCAGTATACATACGTCATTCTACGTGTCGGTTTAGCAACTGTTTATGTTTCAACAGGCTACAATGCACCCCAATCTTATTTGGTATTCTTGGTATTTATCCTCACATACATGAGGATTTTGTTTGACGCGCTAAAGGAAAGACATTTGATGTACATTGTGTCCACGAAGAGTATGCTTTCCAGGCGTCCAAGTCTTCAACCCCTTCCTTAAGTGAAGTTTAAGAGCACTATGCCCTATGATAAAATCCAAAATAACCAGTAATTTTAACTGCCCTAATATCCTTTCTTCGGGGAGTCCATTTTTTGTCCATTCTACCCAACATGACACATCCTAGGCAGAGTGTACCCTTCATGATTGGACCATCGCATTCGTAAAGAGACGACAATCCGTTCTGTAGTACCCGGCTAACGCTTATCATGCACTCCGCACTGGACAACTCGGACCAGAACCCCGAAAGCTAGATAGATCTTCCTATCTCCGTTCCAAATGGGATGCATCACAACCTAAGATTAACCAGACTTGTCCCCACCCCCCTCGCCGCGACGTTTAAATGCGAACCTAAATGCCGCACCTGTCTTTTCTTTTCAATAACATTCGCTAAGTTATCCCATTGCGCATTACTCTGGTATAATGTCAACCGCGAAAGATATCAAGAACTCCGAAACCGCAGACTTGTCGAAAGTTGAATCCCGTAACCACGGCGCAATAGTGGAAGAGAATGAGCTGCTGCGCGAGTTCAAACCTCGCCATGTCTTGATGTTCTCGGTAGCCTGTGCTATTGGGACGGGCCTTGTTATCGGATCTGGCACCGCTCTGGCCAACGGGGGACCGGGGAGTCTGCTGGTGTCCTACATCCTGGTTGGGATAGCGGTTTTCTTTGTGCTGGCCAGTCTGAGCGAGATGGCAGCCTACCTCCCCATGAATAAGGGCTTTGCTGGTTATGCTACCCGTATGGTCGATCCTGCTTTCGGGTATGTCCGTCGTCCATTCCATGTCATCCCTGAAGACGTAGTAGGCCTGACCCAACTCATGTTTAGGTTTTCTACCGGGTGGAATTACTTTTTCAAGTACTTGATTGCCACCCCAACAAACCTTACTGCTGCAGGCCTGGTCATGCAATACTGGAGACCGGACCTCAACGTCGGCATCTGGATCGCAGTGTTCGGGGTAGCTATCATCACTATTAATGTACGTTGAGGTGCTCGAGTAAATTCCTTGCTTAGCAAAGCTCACAAACACTGCAGTTCCTCCCGGTCAAGAACTTTGGTGAAACGGAGTTTTGGCTGGGTCTGGTCAAAGTTCTCATTATGACAATCCTGATCCTGGTATGTTTCATTATCGCTCTAGGCGGTGGCCCGAACCACCACCGGTCTGGCTTTGCATATTGGAAGAATCCAGGTGCCTTCAGGGAGTATCTTGCCGAGGGCCCCAAGGGCCGCTTCCTGGGTTGGTGGGCGTGTATGTGTCAGGCCTGCTTCGCATACACTGGAACCGAGGTCGTCGGGATCACTTTCGGCGAGACGCCTAACCCCAAGAAGACTATCCCTCGCGCTGTGAAACACACGTTCTGGCGGATTGCTTCCTTCTATGTCATCGGAGTCCTGGTCTTGGGTATGGCGGTGCCAAGCAACGATGCCCGGCTTTTGGGGGCGAACAAGCAGTCGACCAGCGCCGGTACGTCCAAGGAATGATTGCAGCACTTCACTCGCTGACATGCATGATTATCAAGCTGCGTCTCCATTCGTGGTGGCAATCAATATCGCGAAGATGTCCGTCTTGCCAGATATTGTCAATGCCTCACTCCTTGTGTTCACACTCAGCGCTTCAAGCTCGGGTTAGTGCCCGCTTGTCTCAATCTACCATTCACAAACACTAATCAAAAGGTTATATATACAGATATCTACTGTGCCTCTCGCGCTCTCTATGGTCTGGCCAAAGACGGCCAAGCCCCACGCATCTTCTCCAAGACTGCCACGAGTGGTAGCCCTGTTTTCGCTGTGGGTGTCGCGGCGCTCTTCGTCGGGCTGGGCTTCATGAACGCCAGCAAATCCGCCGCAATTGTGTTTGATTATTTCGTGAGCTTGGTGACGGTCTTTGCCGTGCTCAATTGGGTCGCTATTCTTGTTTCATATTTGCATTTCCGCCGTGCCCTGAGGGCGCAAGGTGTGCCGTTGAGCTCGCTCCCGTATGTCGGTATCCTGCAGCCTTTCGGAGCCTACTATGCCCTGTTTATATCGTTCCTTGTAATTGTTTTCAATGGTGAGTCGATCCAAAGCCCCGGAACAAACTTGCATCAGGGGAGTTTTATTGACCCTAGGAATAAAGGGTATGATGCTTTTGTCCCCCACTTCACGGTCTCGACGTTTATCCTCAAGTACGTGGGGACGGTGTTGTTTGCCCTTAATGCAGGATTGTGGAAGGTCTTTCGGGGGACGCGGTATCATAAGCCGAAGGAAGTAGATCTTGTTAGTGGATGGCGGATGTTTGAGGATTTGTGAAATGATTGTTGATATAGATCTTCGGTAGAACAGCTTGCCCTGAAAAGAAGAAGATATCAAGATAGCTATAGATTTGAATGGTCGGGTTATCATCTCTCTTCATCTCGTTAGAGGATTGTTAGCTGTAGAATTCGCCGCGCATCGGACCGGACTTCCGAAATTGTTGTGGGTCTAGGAATAAACTAAGCGAGGCGTCAGAACCTACTGTCTTGAATGTTTCAATGCTTGAGACTATATAACACCTCTCACACTACTAAGTATAAATACGTATCGATAGAACTCACATAAGACCCCATATAAAGCTTCACGTAGGGCCTTGCATAAGGACTTCTATAGATATTCTGCCAGTAACTTCCGAAAGCGGTAGGCGGAGAGTCAAACAGGTATGTGGTCAGCCTGGCCAGTATGCCTGTGGCTAAACTAAACTCGGCAGCAATGCCCGAAACGCGCGGCATGATGCTCTTTCCTTCCTGATATAAAAATCATGTTTCTGAAAGACCTCGAATATAGATCACAGAGCACCCTGAATTCTCTTTACTGATTTGACGTGGAAATATGGGGTTACAAGAAGGCCAACAGCTGCATTGGGACACGAACTCGATCAGCTCATCAAGTGTCGGATCCACTCAACTTCCGCGATGACCAGCACATCCCTGAATCATCGCCTCAACATTAAACCAGGAAGCCATTATTGATTAGTCTTACAGGTTATTATGACACACTCATCCTTTACTAACATTGCATGATAATATTACCAGGCTCCTTCAAACGTTCAATCTATCGAGATACAATGAATATATATGTATATTCTTGGCAGGGTGAAGAGCCTTGAATATAGGAACACCATATATACCGTACTGTGTTGAACATACCGGAGTTTATCCAGCCGACCTGGCGGCACAATGGTTTACATCAGCAGATAGAGTAAGGCAGTATCATTGTGTCTTGCCGGGGTAACCTAGAGTAGCATCCATGATGCCTTCTCGTATGGCACACTCATGATTGGTGGGGTAGAAGTATCCGTGGCGCCGTGGATGGAAGCCCATGGAATGAAGGGGTAGTAGTAGAGTACTTATACTAGTAGTAATGTCCACTCTAGACATTTGAATTGAGCGACCGTGCAGTGGATTGGTTCACTAGAAGTGTCATGACAGCAGTTTGAGATGCACCATCGTTGGGTCCTAAAAGTCACATCTGTCACCGTCTGCTGTTACATCCTAACCCCCCCCCCCTTGGGTCGGGCTCCTACTACCTACAGTGGTTCAATGACGATCTCCGGTTCGGGAAAAGGTTCCGCGGAGGATGGGAAGCAGCGGTAATACTCCACGGTACCTTTTGTCAAAGTATGACACCGTAGGATCGCAACCTTCTTTTTGAATTGATGGTACAGCGTATGGCGAAAGAAATGTATAAATATCTTCCAGGATAAGTGTACTGGTAGAGTGGTTTTCAAACCATCCAGCTCACTACTATTGACTTCATCATGGCGGCTATTAACTTGACGGACTTGACCATCAGCGGGGTCCACACGGCATACCACCGCGGAGACTACACCATAGTCGAGCTGGTCCAAGCCTATCTGACACGTATCGATCAGATCAACCCTCAGCTCAATTACGTCCTGGCCATTAACCCGGACGCGATTGAGCAAGCTCAGGCCCTTGACGATGAATTCCAAGCTACCCACAAGCTGCGTCCGCTGCATGGGGTGCCAATGCTGGTCAAAGACAACATCATCACTGCGGCGATGCCCACCACCTTTGGCTCGAAGCTCGCTGTTCCGGGCAAAGAGAAGCTTTCTGACAACGCCCCAGTCATTACGCAGCTTCAAGACGCCGGAGCCATCATCCTGGGGAAGACCGCCATGCCCGACTGGGCCACGGACCTATTCAGCGCCTCGACCGTTACCACATGGACTGAGAATCCCTACGATCGCAGCAGGGACACCGGAGGCTCCAGCAGTGGCACGGCAGCGGGGATCGCATGCAACCTGGCCCTGGTGGGCGTGGGCTCCGACACCGGGGGTTCCATCCGGCTCCCCTCGGCATTCTGCGGGGTGGTTGGCATGCGTCCGACCGTGGGCCTGATCAGTTCCGCGGGCATTTCGGTCTTCGTGGGCAGTCAAGATACCGTTGGGCCGATCTGTCGCACCGTTACTGATGCAGCGCGCGTGCTCGACACTCTTGCCCTACCCACCAGCCCCCAGTTCCTGAGGCCCCGGGGTGAGTCGTACGCGGCGCTTCTCACCCCCAGCAATCTTCCGGGCCCAGTCCATCTAGGCCATCTGCCGGAGCTCGGCGCGGATGATGACGGCGTGCGTGCCGTCTTCACCCAAGTCCTCGATCGCCTTCGACAACATCCTCTGGTCACCATCAGCGACCTCACCATCCCCGACCTGACTACCTCGCTGGATGCAGCCTCCATCAATCTCAGTCGCGGTAAACACGACCTAAATGACTTCCTGGGGCCGATGTTCAACACTAGTGTCGAGGCCATCTATCAGGCAAACGAATATCCGTCCAGCAACTTCGCCATACCGGGAATGATACTAGACAAATCGACAGCGACGGATTGCTACAAACAGTCCGACACCAGAGACGCCCTGGAGCACGCCGTAACAGCGCACATGCTGAGAACAGGCGTCGAAACACTCCTCTTCCTAACCGCCGGAAAACCAGCCCCACTGCGAGAGGACATTGAGGATCCGATGGACGGGCTGAAATTCCCTTATCATACCATGCTGGCAAGTACCCTGCGATGGCCTGCCATCTCGGTTCCAGCAGGGTTAACTTCGACCGGCCTGCCCGTGGGAATCGAGATTGTTGGGAGGCCACTCAGTGAGCAACGGCTACTAGAAGTCGCTTTTGTAGTGGAGCAGATTGTTATGGGAAGACAGCCGCCGCCAGAGCTGGTTTAGTTGCTGGATTTATCCTCTGGCGATCCATGTGTTTGACTTGTGGGATTTGATGTATAAAAAATGGGACAAGAAGGGACATGCTTATTAGGTATAGAGCACGTCTCGTCCGGATGTATCGGTGCTTTCTGTAATCCCTGGAGGGGTCCCCAGTACATGTGTTATATTGTTATCTTGTCTTGTAACTAATCTTTTGCAATTAAAGAGTCCACATTAAAAGGAAGCAGTAATCGACTGAGCAAGCCTTGCAATTCGGTGTGAAGAAACCTGGTTATTATAAAATATATTTCCACTAATGCCAATTGATAAATTGTTCTTACTGTGCCTCTGTTCCCTCATGTTTCCCTCCAGTAATATATCCGAGAAGACTGAGAAGTGGGCCGATAGCTACCAACGCAGGATAAAATGACTGATCCACTCAGAAGCAGCCCGCAAGTACACTGACTACTGAAAATGGCGAGGCCCTGTTCATCCAGCGGCTTTGTATGTACACTATCCCCTTTAACACTTGGAAGTTGAGGTTCTTAGGATGGATAGCATGACGAGTGAAAGGTACGAGACGATGCTGGGTATTCGGGGCTTCCCCACCGCTCGATATTAAGGGAGCGCAGATCCTGCTTGGATAAGACTGGCTGCCACGTACTATACTCCAACCGTCATGGTCGGGGGTTCATCGCCTGGTTTGCAAGTCATTGAGATTCGACAACGATGAACGCATGGTCAGAGTGAGGGTGCTGACACCACTTGAGAATGGGAGAAATCTGGAGCGTTTAGCCTCCATGCACACACCCTTGCTCGATAAGGGATATAGAGATAAGATGGATCAATCAAGACACATCAAGTCGGGTCAGATACGAGGCGAGGCTCCACTGGTAGATAGGCTCGGCGATTGCAAACGGCCATGACGCACAGCTAACGGCGCCCGGCTCACAATTGATCCATGCAGGGCCCGGTTGCTGTTTTAAGAAAATCCTTGATTCTCAAATTTAGCGTCCCGGCAGTTGGAAAAATGTTATCTCCGGAGTGGTGGGCGTGTAGGTCCATTGAAGTGTCTATGTTCCCGGCCGTAGCTTCTATATATCAACATCACCATCGTTCCTTCCCCCAGGCCACAGCTCTTTGCAAATGTCCACCTAGGGACACTCATCCTCATAAGTTTCCCAGGACGGTCTAGAAGCCATACAATGATCCTGCGGCGTGTTTGATGGGTTACACATGTCCCATGCGCTCTCATCGATAACATGACGACGGTCTCATGGTTCTCAGTAACCGGTCCCACGCTACAAAGAGCGTGGACGCATTTCACATCATGCCCTTTACCTTTCTCTATCTGACAGGAATCACGAACCTCACGCAGAGCTTATCTGCAGCATTGTTTGCCAATGCCGACCGTTCAATATGCTATGCCGGACCTTGGACCAGCCGTTCAGTCCCACTAAGGAAATTACGATCTAATCAGTATACGGCCGTGGTTAGTCACGTCGTGTCCAGGTTTTGTTACCATTGGCCAGAACGCATCCTGACAGGAGATTAGATTGTTGCGCCACCAACGGAATTTCTCCCGGGTCAATTAATATGCACCCCCAACACGTGGCCGGGCCATAGGCCGACACGCCTCCGCGCATGCAACACTAGCTTAATGTCTTATGCCTCGGCTGCAGGCTCATCCGTGCTGATTGGTATATATTGGACACCAGGGCACTCTTTGGGTCCTGTTTAGGTCGAGAATTGCATTGCAACTACCATGGCGCCCTCCTTTGTGCAAACAGTCATTCCCTCGCTGTTCCTGGCCGCCATCACAGGCACAAATGCCCAGAGCCTGGCCCCGACCAACGATATCTTGTTTCCCTCCACCCACACGAACAATAATCCGCTGGTCTACGCGGGAGGAAATAGCCCGTACTTTGCAGGCCCCAATGTCTTTGGGATCGATAATAGCGTGCCCGACAAGTGTACGATTCAGCAAGCCGCTTATATAGTCAGACATGGTAGCAGGTAGCGCATACCACATTCTATGCGAGGCGAGATCACTGAAGTTTCATGACAGATTTCCCGACTCGGGCTCCTACAAATCTTGGGTTGCCCTCAGAGACAAGGTCAGATATCCCTATAAACTGAGGGTGATTGGCTGAAGCTAACGGTGTATATGATCCCGTAGATCCAAACCGCGGTCAATGGCACCGGGTTTGAGGCACGAGACTCTTTAGCTTTTATCTCGGAATGGAGCCCTGTTCTCACAAATCCAACGCTGCAAATAGCACAGGAGTCTATGACAGGCTGGAAAGAGGTAGGGCATCCCTCATCATTGGTACAGGGAATATCTTGCTAATGCGACCTAGGCTACGGACCTTGGGTACCAGTTGCGGGCTAGATGTAGGGATGCCATCATTTCAAGCATTTGTCTCCTGACTGACGACACGCAACAGATCCTCACTTTTACCAGGATGGCAACCCCTTTTATGCATGGGCTAACGCCTACACCAACCCAGTCAACAAATCCCGCGTGGTTCAGACGGCTCGTGCCTTTGTCAATGGCTACCTATACGAATTTGCCGATACTTATGGCACGGTGGTCAGTGTCAACTCAACAGGCTCTATCGGCGCCATTGGCAACTCCCTGGGGCCTTCAGACATGTGCCCCGCCTTCTCAGCAATCTCCAGTGGGGGCAACAATGTGACAGACTGTAAGTTTATAGAGACTCGGTACATACTCCCTGGTTAACTTGTGTCAGTCGATGCTACCTGGACCCCACAGGCTCTTCGGCGGATCAATGCCATGGCCAGCAGCAACCTGACATTCGACGAGTCGGACATTCTCTTCTTTCCCTATTTGTGCGGATACGAAACCCAGATCACCGGGCGTCTCAGCCCATGGTGCGGAGTGTTTACCGAGGAAGAGCTACGTAACTATGCTTACTCGCAGGACTTGAGCTACTATTACAACGTAGGGCCTGGGTCTGTTGGGCCGGCAAAAGTGCTGTTCCTACCTTTTCTCAACAGTCTGCTGGGTCTTCTGAGTAAGGGACCGGGCCAGATTGGCACTGATGCGGATGGTGGCAACTTTACCGTCCCCAATCTTATAATGGCGTTTTTGAATGACAACCAGATTGCTGAGATAACCGCCGCCATGGGAATTTTCGATGATGAACCTCTTCTGCTCATTGACCACGTTCCCGATTACCATCTGTACAACATTGCCCACTGGATCACCATGCGCGGCACAGTCGCGTTTGAAATCCTCAACTGCGAGATGGAATCTCGACGCAAAACCTCCAACCAAATATATATCCGCGTGCTGTTCAACGATGCGGTCTACCCAATTGCAAGCTGCCAGGACGGACCAGGTCGAAGCTGCTTGCTTTCAAACTACATTTCATTACTTGAGAAGAAGAGCAAGGCGGCGGGAACCTTTGATGAATATTGTAATGTCACTATACCTGACCACCCCGAGACTGTTGCTGGAGCAAGCTTCTTTACCGATCTGTCACTGGACTTTTTGAGTTTCGTTAAACCTTGATTGGGCTTTGGTCCAACAAAGAGGCTATGTTGAGACAAAGGACCTTCCTGGGTTGTACGGTAGGGCCTTGCGTCGCATGGTGTATATCAGGGTATTTCATGTCTCTTTTACAGTTACATATGTGTTATGCCGACGCCTCTCGTCTACTGGGCGGTAGGTATTGTATACCATTTGCCCAGTCATTTATTTTATTCAAATCTACTCCTCTCTGCTAGGCAGGTATGATGCAACCCTGGGCTAGTCTAGATCTTCCGCGTGTTGCGGGAGTGATGTATACATTACAAGACATCACATACATCACAAACCATGGCCCAGGTGTGTACTATAGAGTGATGCTTTGTTTCTGGGCCGTCTAAACCGGTTCGGGACAGAAAGGATGCCATGGAATAAGACTCAAGACATATGTGAAACACTATGTCTGGAAGTGGATGGAGAGCTACTCTACACTGCAACGAGCTGGCCAATTGTTGTATGGTCCAGTTTCTCAAATAGTCATCTTCTAACTGTGAGTCCCTGTCTCTTCATTCATCATTTCCGGCACTGCGACTTGTCTCACCCCCGGACCAGACCTTTGTTTCGAATGAGGATGAGCTGGTATGCGAGAACGGACAGACCGAGTGATGAGAAGATGGATTCTGCGTGCTAGTTGTTGACAGCGTTGGTGCAGAAGACACCGCTTCGGAGAAGAGACTGGTCGATTCAGTCCACGAAGATGAACCGGTCCTTGCGCTACCTGGTCGATCATGACTCTGATTCCTTGGGGAAGGCTTTTCCGCTGCTGCCTTCGGCTCTGCTTTTCGATCCTGGTGGGCTGCTTCAATCTCCGTTTCAAACTCTACCCCATCCCGAACCCGCCACCGAGCAAAGAGGTCGTTTTGAATCCAGATCACCTTGTTGAGAGCTCGAAGCAACGCCAGCCGGAAGGGAAAGGAAATTTTGTCATATCCCATGACTGCTTCGATTAACATGTCCTGGATGTAGCCGAGACAAGCCCCAATGTGAATGTATTCAACATCAAACGATATCATGCGGTCTTTGCCATCGTGCATTCGTCTATACTAGTGGTCAGTGGAAAGCGAGCGCATACATACAACCAGCAAGTCTTACCCCACTTTATTCAGGTACGCATAGAACTCGAGCTTGGTTGGGTCAGAGCAGAGCTTGGTCATGTACCATCGCAAAAACATCCGACGGCACTGGATGTACGGACTCTTGAACTCAGGATAATCACCATCATAGTCCTCTGAGGTCGTGGTGCGCGTCTTGAAAACACGAGCGGTGATATCTGTCTCTAGGAGTTTCGCGTAGACACGATCCACCAGAGTCGGTGCCATGGCCTTGATATGTTTGGAACCTTTGTTGAGCGCGGCAACATCATCTGGGGTCAAGTCAGCGTGCACTCAAACGGAATCAGCGCATTGGGGAAAACGGGACCACCGACCAGCATTAAACCCAAGGAACTGCTGCAGATAGTGGACCCGTGCTTCAAGATCGGTATAGAGAGCTTTCCGATCGACATGGCGGGGCATAGTACCGGACGGAGTGTGGAGAACCATGCTGTCAATTCGCGGGATTGTAGTGCTGGATCTGGATGGAAAGTTGGCTCACCAACCCCATCCTCCCTTCCACACAGCTGTTACTTATACCCTGCTTCGGCAAGGTACAAAAAAGGGGATCATCCTCCGGAGCCGGTGGAAAATGATGTATCCATCGCGGGTCCGGCCCATGCGCATTTAGGGTTTCGAACTGCCATGCCGGCTGTCACTTGCGGAAATGACAGGCGAATGGCCAATCTCAGCGATCGCTTTGGCCCACTGTTCGTCGGACACTCCACTCGGTGGCGACCGCTGAAACATGACCTCCGATAATATTACGAGATGGGTGGGCAGTGGCGCTGGGGTGGGTCAGCTATTGAAATCTTGCGTGGATGCGGTACCACTTGTGTGATAGAGTGTACCTAGTACCACTCTCATCCCTAGTCAGTGGTTCATACTGTTCAGACTTCAGACTATTATTGATTATGGTTTGCATGATGCTTTTTTTTATAGCGATAAGCTGTAGCACTTGTGGCAGGCGAGTCAGGGTCCTCGACGCGAAATGCGGTCAACAGCTTGGCCACAACAACTTGGCGCAAGCAATAAACTGGATCCTCAGTATTTTAAGTTCTTACAGCTCTGGCAATACGATCAAAGCAGCCACAATCATCTATTTATACCTGTCCAACGTCTCAGAGATTCGTCCCCGTTCACCACATGGTGAACCCGCCCCCAAAATAGGGTGGGTTTTCCGACTCTTCCATGACTACTATCTTTCGCGGTGACGCGTAGAATATAATAACTCAATTGGAGCTTTTGATAGCGTGACCATGTATTACAGGAGTAGTGGACACGAATGTAGGCAGTACAGATGCAGATGGCTTGCTTAATTACATCTCCGCGCAATGTCTGGTTTGGAAGTGACGAATAAGCCGCCGGGTGGTGAACCTGTTTCTCTCCTCAATTGCTTTTATTCGACAGAATGTGTTCTGCGGCTTACGTAAGGACCCACACTGTATCTCGGTAACAAATGAGAAGGGTAGAGAATTCCCCCTGCCTTGCAGTGACTCGAGATGGTATATCTCCATTGGATTAAATACCTATATACCGATATTTCAGATGCTCCATGTTAGTCTCATCACGCCGGCGATATTCTCTTTTACCCCAGCAGTCAGTAGCTCAGAGACTGGTCCACCATCTGGCATAAGCCACTTCGCTCGGAACGCGCATTGCTGATAAGCTTCAAAGAGAACGCTCCTACTGATAAAGTCATTATAGCCGGAGCTGCAGATATACCTGGCTCACAAGAGAGCCAGCTAGGGCGCTGTTAGTTGACCTGCTGAGCTGAGTTGACGTTATGGGTTGGGTAAAGCTAAGCATGGATAGAACGTATTTATGACAATGTGACCCCGAGAGGCTCTCCAACCACTTATAAACTTTATAACTGATCAATATATCTATTATCAAGTGAACTCGGATTTGGAATGTCACCATTTTATATTCAACACATGGGTATGTAAGTGGAAAATAAAATAATATAGGTATTTAAAAATAACACCCATGGAATCTGGGAAATATTAGATCACTCGGCCAAAGAACATATTCTTAGCCTGTTGATCCTGGTATAACAACTACCTGACATATGATGAACAGAAAATAAAGCCGAAAGTGACGGAATAGAATCACAAGACAACAAGTCGAAATAACATGTATCCTGTGAGGCCAACCAATAACTGAGAAAGTAGATGAAGCACTACCTCGAGTATTTACTAAAGATCTGATCGTTAAGTAACCAGGGCCGTGATGCCTGTGACTTCCACAACTATTGGCCAGGTCATTATACCTTATCACAGGGGAATCGCGTCCTCGAGAGGGCAATGCTTTGTAAAGTACCATTCTGCCATTTGTATTAGCTTGATATAGAGCGAAGGCATTTCAGGTTTGCTTATACATACCCAACGCTGACATTGCAATGCTATCCGCATTTCGGTAGGGAGGCATTTCGTCTTTTTTCTTGCACTTTGCCTCATCCTTCTGCCACAGGCCTGCCAGCTTGCGTGCATTTTCAATATACTTTGACCTTCTCCAGTCATCACTCCCGTGCGATATCAGGCTGCCTGGCCCTCTGTATAGGAAAGTGTGTTAATGACTAACTCAGGAGTCCGGTACTAGTAACACTCGATTAGAAGGAGAACCTGCCTGACTTCGGGGTAGCCAGCTTGCTTTCCAGCAGCATCAAGATGGGTCATCTCATGGAGAAGATGCTGAGCTGCCACCTCATACCATTTGATATGCTTATCAGCCTCACACCAATATTCCTTCCTATCTGATGGCTTGCGGCTCGGTCGGCGATTCTCTGGCGGATGCATGTGTCTTGAGCTCAGGTCATTCCTGGAATCCTTGGTTGTTTCCTTGAAAACGTTGGACAAATATATAAGTTGTTCCTGTTCGGTGTGGCATCGGCATATGCAATACTAACATAGAATTTCGGTTTAGTATTCCATATCTCACATGAGCGCAGAGGGAATGGCAACACACCTTGTTTTACAATCTTCATCGTTTTAGTTGAGACAGGTTACTGTGATCTTGAAGTTGGGGGAGGCAATTGCTTTCCACATTGCCTTGACATATTTCTCATCTTCCTGCAGACCACTGCCACGAGTTCGGAAATAATTACTCCATCTGTGCCCCTAACGCCTCAGCAATTCACCTTCGTTTTGAGGTTCGGGATGACTCACGGGTGCTTAGAGATATCAATAGATTCCGCAGTTGTGGTGAGAGTGTGAACATCATTGAATGCTTTCTCCAGCCTTTGGACTTGAGCTTGGTCACATCCCTCATACTTGTCGATATACGATATCGAGGGTTCTGGGGTGGGTGTAGCAGCAACGAGGCCGGCATACCAAAGAGCAGTTACTACAGCCCAGTAGACCGGATACACGCACAACATACTGTTTTCGGACAGAAGAACAGTGGAGTAAAGAATGGATAGTAGAGCTTCGGCCTTGCCTTTTGAAAATCCAGATTTTGTCGATAATAGGTCATTACCTCTGGGGAATTGTCCGACCTTATACGGTGTTTGGCAGTCTGCAGAATAGGACGAGGACGATACGTCCAATGCAAATTTTCTCATTTCTCCTTGCCGCCAGAACCCGAGTTCCTTGATGGTACCCAAGACCCTGGCTAGAACAATTTCACTGGGGGCTAATTGTAGTGTCCTGCAGGGGCGAAAAGTAATGATCTCAGCCCTCTGTCTCTCGTGGTGACAACGGGGATATGGGTCCATGTTATGTACGGGCATGGGGGCCAGTTGGAGACGACTAGAGTATATTCGTCCTCTCCAGCGGTTACATTGGGTAGATAGAATAGATACAAGCTGCTAGGGAATGATAATATCCTAAGATTGGGAATGAGGTCACTGGGATTGTCGGCAATTGTGAAGATGGAACAGAGGTAGAACAGTCTAAGGGATAAAATGAAGGGCTTCTAATCAGGCAGTGCCAAGTTCTCTTGATACTTGATACTTGATATGTGTACAGGGATATGCAGGGTTCTATCACTAGTAGTAGTAGGCTCCTACTGCTGACAAATAAGGATGCACAAAGCACGGTCAGCCCTAGTCTGACTAGTAATAATCCGTCCATGTCCGGGTCATCTGCTTCTCGTTCGCAATTCCTTCCTCCAACTATCCCTGCCTCCTTCGTCGCAGTTCTAACATGAATTCCCCGTCCCCTCACGACGAAGTTACTGTTGCCTTTACCGTGACGCTATCATCACCAACCCTGTCACTTCCCCTCTCCACCCCTCTGAAGGTGTTTATCCGCCCCCGAATCATCAAGTCGACCCGCCCTGGCGAGCCGGTCACCCTCCTGGTGAATGACTCGGCCCTAGAAGCGAGCGAACCAGGCCAATGGCCAAAGGCAGTCGCATTGGGCGCCCTCGGGCAGGGCCTACAATCGAAGCATGATCCGACCCGGGTAATCCCCTTTGGTGTCCTAATTCCACATTACCCTGAGCCGTATTACAGTCCCACGAGTCTCTATGGGAGGGGCCACTTTGTCACCCTGCCTGGATCCGGCGACGAGGTGGTGATTACCCATGAGATCACCAGAGAGCGGCTCTTCGTACGGTCGGATCTTCGTCCCGAGGATATCCAATCCGGAGAGGAATTCCAATTATGCGTGAGTCGCCATGGACGTCGAATCGAGTGGTGGTGCTGGGGTGACTTGGAAGGGGATTTGCAGGGGAAGAACCTACATCCCTGGGTACAGGGGGAAGACAACATCAATGCGTGGCATCCCAGGCCGAGCCCGGAGGAAATTGAGAGAGAGAATCATGTCCTTGGGGGCGATCCGGACAAGATTCTGGTGACGGATGAGTCTGGCTGGGTGCCGATTACAATAGTCAGGGACGTGGTTGGGGATGACACTGACAGGGTTGATGTTACCGCACTTCGGAGCTCGTGCCCCGCGCTCCATCCAAGATGAATTTGTAGGAACTTGGAAATTCTCACCTACAAAGAGTCAATATAACCCGCCTTTTGAGATTCCCCATGGCCGTATCTAATGTTCCAACTTGCGCGGATCGTATTCGATACGATTCGCTAGGGGGTAACTAACTAGACAGGAAGCGCTAATGTACCCTGATCAACGTAGCCGCAATGAGCGATGGCACCGTCAGCTGACGGGGTGGGGTCTATTCCAGGGTCTGTCACGGCCTGTGAGATTACCTGACTCACCTATAGAGGGGATTGAGTGAGATACGCCTAATTACCCTTGGTGCATCGTCGCAGGTGGCCCCAACAAAGAGCCCTGTGTCCTACGTTTGGTAGTCACACTAAAGGAGGCCGCCCCAAGGCTGCAGGCACTGCTGGGCAATCTAATTTTCTGCTTTCTTATACGCCAGGTGAATGGGCCAGTCTCGCCTTCACGGGCCTTTAATCATACGATGTAGGGCTCAGACAGAATTGTCTGGATCCAGCCTCGCCGGGAAAGGAAATATGGCTATCCAAACACCGCCATTTTATTTTGAAGATAGACTATCAGCTATCACCAGAAACAGAATTGACCAATGGATCACTTCTCCAAAGACCGAGTAACACCGTCGACCACATCCACCAACAGCCGAGGAACAATTTCACCTCGCCGGGTTCGCACAAACCCCTGCTGCGACATGCGACGACCACCGCAGCATAGACAGACCCCATCTTGCCAGGGTATATGATCCACCAAGCTTAAGGCGCCGCGGGGGAAAGCCCTTTGAAATAGGATATTTGCACCTTTAAGCTCGAACTGCCATTTATTGTTATTATATGGGACCATGGTACTACCATCGTAGAATATAACGAATGGAAGGGTCGGGTAGAGGGATAAGGCTGAGAACCATATGCTTTCACCGTCTGCACGGTTCTAAAAAAGCTGTTTTTGTAAGCCATAGAGAATTACCCGTCATCATATCCCTATATCGGAATGATATGGAAGAAAATGTGTAGAAAGACCTCGTGTGCGGTCCTGAAACATACATCCAAATTTGATTGAGCTATAAGCTAACATCCTGATTCCAGCCCAGACCTCTTCCCCTCTCTTTCTCTAGCGGAGGCTTACGAAATAAAAATCCAAACGACGCATGTTATTCCACGGAGCCAATCTGCATGCCGTCATCACTGTACCCATTGTACCCGACCTCGCGCCAACTCTCCAGAGGGCATTCGCGATGATGCCTTATTTTTCGGCGTAGGCTTCGGGCCATGCAATACCAGCTTCAATTGAACGGGCGTTGGGTTCGTCGCGCTTCTCAGCGTAGGCCTCGGGCCAAGCAATGCCGGCCTCGACTGAGCGTGTCTGCGCTTCATCACGCTTTTCGGCATAAGCCTCGGGCCAAGCGATTCCGGCCTCAATCGAACGGGCATGAGACTCGTCGCGCTTCTCAGCGTAGGCTTCGGGCCAGGCGATACCAGCCTCTACCGAGCGTGTCAGGGATTCGTCACGCTTCTCAGCGTAGGCTTCGGGCCAGGCGATGCCGGCTTCAATTGAGCGGGCCACTTCAAATGCAATCTGATCAGTACGGAGAATTGAGACTCAAATGAGATTGATTCACCTTCAGTATTCATTGTTGGGAGAGCAAAGACCATGGTCCCCGCACCAATGGACAGGAGGATTGACAGCTTCATTCTTCAGGTATTGTTGTAAGTGATGATAAAAGTGGTTTCTTTAGGTTTGATATTTTCAAGACACCTCCAGTATATATGGGAAAGAGATAGGAAACAGATAGGAAACAAAGAGGGGTTAGATGTGTCACAGCACTTTAACTTCTAGCGACGAACCCAATCAAGGCACAGCACAGTTCAAGCTCATTGCGGCGCTGTGATTGCGCGTGCATGATACCAAAGCTTAGCTGCATACCCCCCCCCCCCCCCCCCCTCCCCCCGGCTCGCTGCAATTTAACCCCAACCGGGAAGCCCGGGAGCCTCGCTTTCCCGACATCACCGGGTATGTCGGCTCGCTGGAAAGGGAGAATAAAACGGGGCTAAAATAGGCCCTTCGCGCAGTACCATGGGAGATGGGAATACCAGCAGCAGCAGGAAATACAACATGGACACCGAGTCGCAGCCTTTTCTCCCCCCGGCGGAGGATGACAAGGTGCAGGGAGACATTTGGTATCGCTTCAAGAGCGGGTTCAAACCAAGTTCGTCAAACTGGATGCTATGGGTTGGAACCTCCATCTTCATTAATGCCCTGGCCCTGATGTCTATCGCCGCATGGGTAACTCACCGTCCGGTGAGGTCGTGTTCAGCAAGCCGGGCAGAAGGTCTGCTTCCTACAAGCCCCGGCACCAGCAACGCTGACATCTTGACCACAGAACTCCGCGGCCTTGAGCGTCACTACATCCCGACCAGGTTCACAGATTACACCCAGACTGCATACTTCCAAGACCCCGGCCCCACGACCGACGCAGCATGGGAAGAGCTACTGGGGGGGATGTTCATCCGAGTGACCACGGAGGAGCTGCAGGTCACCAACCAGACTTCGATCACCTTGGACGGAGATGACAGCCATCTTGCTTGGCTGGGAGTATACCATGACCTGCATTGCATCGTAGGCCCCACCCCTGCGGTCAAATAACATATCCAAGCTGACCAACGGCGCTAAGAACACTCTCCGTCGGTGGATGCATCGAGACTACTACCACCCGAATCTGACAGCCGCCGAGCTGGACAAGCTCCAATCCCATACCAGTGAGTTGCCATCCTGCTGCTGCTGCTGTCGGTAGAAACTCGGACGCTAACTCGGTGATTGACAGGCCATTGTCTGGATGTGTTGCGCCAGGCAATCCAGTGCCATGCAGACGCATATCTGATGACGTTTCGTTGGCTGGAAACCGAGCAGAAACCAGTGTTCAGTCCAAAGGTGCCCATGAGAACGTGTGTGGATTTTGATCTGTTGCAACAGTCGTTGGAGCCTCGGTCAGTAGACCCGGAAGAGATTCAAGGGCTACAAAATCCCCTGATGGGGACGGACATGTAGCTTACTGCCGAACTTGGAGAACAGAGAGAGCGGGGTAGAATGCGTAAGCCAAGCTAAAGAAAAGATTTACAAATTGGTATCCACTCCATAAGATTCCCACTCAGCCATGAATCCAGACAAATCCGCCCAGCTTTTACACTGATGCTCCGTCCCAAACCCCGTTACACCTCCCAGGGTCTCATTCTTTAGCTCCACCGTCAGGTCCGGCTGACACATCAGGGCTAGTCGTAACAACTCGAGGCAGTGCCGAACATGGTGAGGGGAAGACATTTCGGGGAGATTCTCATCTCCGGGGAAGTTCCGGTCAGTGGCTGCGATGTCATACAAAGCCCAATAACCCTGTCGGATGCTGTTCTACTATGCCCCTAACCGTTATTCGGGCTGACTGCAGTGTCTGGGATGTGGCCAACGTACCAAGCAATGTAGTTGATGAAAGACGGCGAATGCCGACCTTTGCTTCGCTAGGGTGGGATGCTGAAAAAACCCTTTTCGCTGGGGGAAGAGGCGTGTCCAGTTTTCATCAGTATCAGGGGACTGTTCGTCCTGAAAGCTGCCGTCGTATTCGAACACATACGGCTGGGTTGACACTATGCGAATGCAATGAGGTAGTGCTCTTGGGGCTGTTCGATAGTAATTGGACCTACAGGGAATTGGCGCCAGACTGCCATGGGACTGGTATCTCCCAATAGCAAAGGCCGTCAAACACAATGGGAGCGTCAGTACGACGAACCAAAGCAGGAGATGAAGTCTGTCTGCTCGCCATCTTGTTTTCGACCTCCCCAGCGTTATCTCGCCAATCAAACGATAATCATGAAATAGCCCCATCATAGCGCCGTTGGTATACAAACGAAAAGGGGCGGAAGGCGAAGCATCTGTTGATAATGAGCGCCGATTTATATCCGTCGTCTGTATCGAGTAGATTGCATTTCCTGTCCTTGGCCATGATGTTTTGGCCCCCAAGGATCAATAGCCAAAGGGGCACACGGGCCGCGTGCCCCGATCCATCCGGTGACACACGGATAGCCTATATGTAGTTGCGGTGACGGACCTGAGCAGCTCCCATCCGATTAGCACCGTTCGATCTCTAGCAACATGAGTTCCACCGTGCCGGCCGGAATTGATCTGTCCGCAGACCAACGCCCGAAGATTGTCGGGGTCGCGGTGTCAACATGGGTACTCGCCTTTCTGGCAGTCTTGCTGCGCTTTGTGGCCCGAACATTGGCTAGAGCAGGTTTTGGGTGGGACGACTGGATGGTTCTGCTGTCTCTGGTATCTCTCCTCCTCCTCCAAGTGGGCCAGCTAACCCCGAGACCAGATATTTGGAGCTATCCCATCTCTGTTGCCTTGCGCTCTAGGTGATGACCCCGCTTGCCTTGACCGGCGAACCCTCGGTGCTGACCGGCTGGCAGATATCCACCATGGCTTAGGGCTGCACGTGTGGGCGGCCCCGGCCAATTCCGTCCCGATTTTTCTCCAATCGCTGGTGGTTGCCGAGCTGTTTTATGTGGCCACCACCGTTGCGATCAAGTTCTCTATCCTCCTGTCCTACCGACGCATTTTCCCGGTTCCTGGGGTTCTCAAAGCGACCGCATGGGCTGCGGGGATGGTGCTCGCCTGGGCCGTGGCTTGTGTATGATCCCTTTCTGGTCGCCGATTACGGCTGCTAACTCCCTTCTAGGTGCTCATCGTCTGCCTCCAATGCATCCCGCTCCGAGGATACTGGGATAAGTCCGTTCCAGCCAAGTGTGGGGTCAACGAGAAAGACTACTTTCTGGGAAAGTCCATCCCTGATACCGTCACCGATTTGTTCATTCTGGTCATTCCCATGCATCCCATCTGGCACCTCCATGTCAATCGCATGCAAAAATTGGTTCTCACACTCACCTTCCTAATCGGAGGCCTGTAAGTGCTCTGCCCTCTCATCCAGTGCCACCGGGTGGGGGCGGAGGGGGTGTTGCATGCTGACTGCATTTCTAGCGTGACTGTCATCTCAATTATCCGTCTGGTCTGTCTGCTCGAGATCGACCTCAGCTCGGAGGATATTACATGGAACTTTGTACCTTACCTGATCTGGACCTGCGTGGAATTGAACGTTGGCATTGTTGCAGGTCAGCCATCCCCTCATTCCCCTCATTCCCCCTCACGCTAACCGAGCCATGCACGAAGCTTGTCTGCCTTGCCTTCGCCCCATCTACATCTGGCTGCGTAAGAAAGCTGGATACTCGACAGGCTCATCTGGTAGCGAACGGCCGACTCCTGGGACTAATCGCAAGTCCAGTCGTAGCGGTTGGTCAGGGCGCGATGAGTACGGGGACCAGGTTCCGATGCATGGCATCAAGTTCCGGCAGGACTTCTTGGTCCAGACTACAACGGCCTCCGACCGTGGGGATGAGGAGGCCGCGGAGGTCTTACACTAGTCAATTGGGGCAGGTGGATGAGAATAAGCACTAAATCCTGGCGGATGTGATAATGCGTGTTAGTTACAGCTGACCACCGTTTCGAGCCCTCCACGGGTGCAATCTCACTCGGTCCTTTTTGCCCATGCCCCTGATTCCAATCATTCATCAATCTCTTGCAATGAATTTCGTTGAACCAGATTCAGGCACGTGGGGAGATTCAATATCGAGCCTGGCTGTTGAAGGCGTGGTCAGCTTTGGCGTAAGCACTAGCGCCAGGAGTTGCTTAGGGTGTAACCCCCCCTGCATACCGGGTGGTGATCGGCACGCCATTTCCAACCTCTCCGATCCGTTCCGAATATGCTGATCTTGGTTCTTAATGCTCCTCTACTCGCCGGTGACTGCCCAGTTCTCCCCACCATCATCCTGCCAGCCATGACGGCCACCCCCGCCACCTATCTGCTCCTACGGGATCGAGTTGAGGCCATTCGGTATCCACTCACTGCCGTCTATCAGACTGACACAGTGTTAACTTTCACGCAGGCTCGAGTCGCAACATCTCTTATGGCAACTCCATACCGGATATCTCCTACACCCAGACATTCCTCTCCAGGATGGCATGGCAATTGCAGATATCGGGGCCGGGACTGGGTAGGCCTCTCTCTGCATACGATCGACCTTCTGCTCACTTTCACCAGACTCTGGGCCACAGAAGTAGCCTCTCAGCTTCCTCCTAATGCTCGGGTCTCCGCCTTTGACATTGCCGACACGCACTTTCCACCCAAGGAATATTGGCCAGCCAACGTGAGCTTTGATCAGCTCGACTCCATGAGTGACGTCCCATCGTCTTTGATCGGTCAATTCGACGTGGTTCATCTGCGCATGTGGGCGTTCATTATCCGGGACAATGACCCAAGTCCACTCATCCGCCATGCCGCCAAACTACTAAGTGAGTGTCCCTGGTGCATTACATTTTATCCTTGAATGGATAGAACTGACATACCTTATCCCTCCCTCTTAGAACCCGGCGGTTATCTCCAATGGGAGGATGCCCGTTTCGGCAGTACGGTAGTACACGGAAAGGCCGCGCAGCAAATGCGGACCTTCATGAGCAGCATGACTGCTATCTCGAAGCATAATTTTCAGTACGCCCCATCTCACCTTGTACTGTCAACCAATGCTACACCCAAACTAACATCATACCAGATGGCTCGACAATCTCGACCAACACGTCTCCCGCGCTGAAGCATCCCTCAACATCATAGATTGCCAATACAAAGAATGGGCGCCCAGACTAATCCCCCACTGCATGGATACCTTCCTTGTAGCGCTTGAAAACAGCGGAGCCGTATTGGACCGCATGAAGCAGATTGCCCCGTCGGTTCCTAGTCAGGAGGAATGGATCAATGCGTTAGCGACGTTGCATGGAGAGATTCGGGGCCCGGAGGGGGGGAAGTTGTATTGGTTACCGGTGACGTTGCTGGCCAGGAAGGTTGAGTGATTGGAAAATTGTATGGAATTTATGTATTTGCTGAAATGGACGAGGATTATAAATGTCATTGAAGGCTAGGACTGTGGTATACCTGTTTTGAGTTCACTAGCGTAGATTTCCCATCGCGTTTTATCCGGCAGCAAGCTCCTGGGAGCGAGTGTTGTCACTGCCGAAGGGTAGATGTCAAGTTCATATGTTAGATGCTTTGTATGTCTGGTAATGTGAGATAAAAGGATGATGCTCAGGTGACAGAAGTTGCAGTAGTAGGAAAATCTAATGCTAGATAGATTCTTGTCTGTGCATTGTCTTAGTATGATGCCATATCCGAAGTGGAAGTGTATGTGATGGTACGGTATTCATCTATATCGGAGAGTTCGTCCAGTTGGATGAGTTGGTAGATATATATAATCCAATTCCTGTACTTCCTTGATCTCTTTAAGACACTACCTTATTAACTATATTCTATCCAATTGGTGAATGTTCTCATATACTGATGGAATATATAATAGTAATGAACATGTCTCCGCAAACCAAATTGGATAATCAGCTGACTCTTTTGTTTGTAGGCTTCATGCCTGATCTTTATGTTCTCCAAAATAAGCAGTTTAGATCTATGGCTAATACGCTTCTTCATGAGTTAAACCGCTGAGTAGTGACTACTAATGACAGAACCAATACTGGACAGCCTTGGCCAAGAATAGAGTAATATATATGGCAGGTAATATGATACAATTGAAGTGGCTATCATGTACTCAATATATACAATCATGAAGAGGACAACGTCAATGCGTGGCATTCCAGGCCGAGCCCGGAGGAAATTGAGAGAGAGAAACATGCCCTTGGGGGCAATCCGGACAAGATCCTGGTTAGAGATGAATCTGGTTGGGTTGGCATTACGATAGTCAGGAACAGTCCTGAACGGACTTTGGTTGAGGATCGTACTGATAATATTAGGGACGCGTGTCCCGCTCTGCATCCGAGATAATATACATAGTTTTTTCAGAATGGGTGCCAAGTTGAAGTTGTGTGGAATCAATCCTACCTAGAGGAGTGTCACGTGTTCTCCATTACCGTATACATTGTCCATCTAGGCGGATCGTATCCCATACAACCCCGGAATAGCTCGGCCCGACCAGGAAAAGCGCATAACCCTTCAGCGGGAAGATTCACCATGGTGGAGTCATGTGTGTGGACGGTTGCCATGACCCTCGGGTACCATCATCAGATGTGGCCTTCCTCCATGCCATGCATGTCCGCACATCATCTCCCATATCAATGGGATAGCCGGAGTTTCACAAATGTGGAGCAACGGTTTCATGTTACCTGGTTAAATCCCCATGAATGGGTCAGCGTCTCCATCAGAGGCTACTGATCATACGATCTTAGTCTCGAATAAGAATTTCCATTCAGGCAATCCATATTCTGGATCCCCTCTCATCAAGAAGAGACATCAAATGATCCAAACGCTCTATCACAGTTTCTACAATGGACTACTAATATGTATCATACCTGAAACCCCCGGGACAGTGTTTTAAGAGTCCAGAGTAGCCACCAGGCAGGTGTGGCTGTGGCGCCTCCTTCAAAGTACGCTGCCTCGGTACACCCGTCCCAATCTTGAACCCGGACTCCCAAAAGGAAACACCGAACTATTCTCTTGTATATGTTTCTACATGTGAAGCCAGTATATCAATTCAGCCAAGCTGTTAAATGATTAAGATAGTCATATTCTGAAGCAACAATACATTGCGGGAAATCCTCCGCAGGCATTGATAAGTCATATGACATGCCTTATTTGTAGAGAGCTCTTGTCATTTTTCATTCCCTGATAATGATTAAGGGCCTAGACAATAGGAGATGCTGCACCAGGCGATACACTTCTCCGACAAGTAACAAGTCTTTATAATAAAACCAGTGAGTTGGACTAACTATCTTGGTTCCTCACGTCGCTGCCCAACAATAAACCCAACAGAGTGGCGGGGCAGGACCAGGCCAAGTTTATCTATTATCATCAGAGTTGAGAACGGGGTAGGTTTTAAAGCTCGTAATCAATCTACATGATGTTTCCTGGCCATTTTCATCAACACGGCCGACATCTTTTAGGGTCCTTTAATCAATATGAGCAATACAGAAAATAGACTGAGATTATCCAGCATTGTCATTACTGGTAAGGTACCTAATCTTATTAAGAATATCCAGAAACACCTGCATGATATGAGAATTGTCCATCCAGATATCCACCAAGCATATCTTGAATGGAACTCTGATTACACTGCTGTAAAAACATATTTTGACTCTGTACGTGAAGCCGAAACCTCTCATTAATACCTGATATCTCATAATATACCAAGACAATCAAGCCACAAACTGGCCCTGGAAAGTACACAGTTTTGATTGTGGTAAATCCAGATCCCGGATTCCCTCTACTGTAGGATGGAACCCATGGATCAGAGAGAAATCCGTATCTCACTTTAAGAGATATAACACAGATACCCGCGGAGAAAGGAGCAATAGTTATTTTCGAGGCAAGCATCGCACGTAAAGAGCCTGTGATGAAAGGCAATGGTAGAACTTGTACTTTGTTGGCTTATCAGGAATAACCTGTGCTGTGCTGCGCTGGAAAAAAAGCACCAAGACCATATCCGCAAAGATTCCTCCTACAACAATTCCCATCACGCTCCCTGGCTTTTCATTTCTAGTTCTATCAATCATGGACAAGCTTCAGTGCCTCTGCCCGAATTCGATTTCTGTGTGAAGGTCGCACCACAGATTCTCATCATTACTTGGCACATACACGTTCAAACCAGGTGCATCAATATTCTGCACGTCCCAGTCGTTTTGAAGTCCTGCTTGAGTGGTTTCGTCGCCATGATCCACGAAAAGCAGATTGCAATCAGAACCCCCTTGAGTGTCAGGACTTACTGGTGCGGGCAATGTTCCCCATCCGGGTGATGCGCTAGAGTTACGCAAGTTTGACTCTTCCGCAGCTACGCTTGTTGCAGCTCCAAGGCAGATCTCCGATGGGTCAGTATGAACGTCTACTGCATCCTGATAAGGCATAGCTGGTGCGTTGGGCGAATCAGAGGTGTCAGTTCCGGGACCTTCGATTCGTCAATTTCTTTCTATTTCATTCTTCAGTGTGACTTTGCTTACCCTCGTCCCATGTTTCTTTCGGTGCTAAGGGCCCAGATATTCCTGGCGTACGGCCTAGGATCAGTTAAATTGAGTAAGACATATCATTCACGGGGTGCCGTACGAGGGATCTTGTACATATCCACAAGTGCAGCTAGTCCGCTGACATTTAGCTCCGACTTGTGTTTCTTTAGGTAGTCTAAAAGACGATGCCGGCCATCTTTATTCAAGTGGGACATCTTGTGTTTTCCCAAGGCCGCAGCGCAGAGGAGAGCAAGTTCAGGACCACAAAGGCGTGAAATATCATTTAGTATGGCCTGGTAGATCTTTTCAAAGCTATCTTTCTGGTTTGAAGTCATAATCATCGCTGCAATCCTTGCATTATCTGCAGCCTGTTTCGTGTCAAGTGTGTGGGAAAGTTCAATCCGGGCGGCGCATTTTTGTAAACGTTCAGAGCAATCGTCGGACCTTGTAAGCCTCTTTCGTTGTCATGGCTGTTGCCGTTGTTTCAGCTCCATCCTCATGAGCGATACTGCAATACCGCACTGGAAGAGAAAGGCCTCCAAATCTGCATCTTGGACTTCTTCGAAGCTAATATTCCACGAAAAACTAACGTTTTCTCCAGAGAACAGCTTGACGCAGGGATAATTCATATCGAGTAAGTCGTTCTTGGGAGCAATTTGGGAAGGATGGGGAATTGCTCCTATCGTCAGCGGGTCAGTTGGCACGTCAATTAATCAACTAGCAAAGCAGATCCTACGCCTCCTATACTTAAGGAAGCCATGAAAGGCTCGGAGCACCGGAGCGGGGCCTCCCAGAGCGGGGTATCAGCCTTGTCTAGTCTCTTAATAGTCATTGGTGTAACCGGCAAGTGAAACCGGTCATGTCACGTATTGTCACGTATTATCATGTATTCCGGACCCAGCCATAGACCTTGCTCATTTCAACCACCAACCAACCATGCCTCTAAAAGCACGTTGAAATGTGAGCAAGACGGAAGCCTTTACTTGCTATCACTGACAAGTTCTCTTATATAACCAAGCAATAGTGAATACATTATCTCTGGTATACATTCTCTTCAGCTCGCCTAGTTATGTTATAGTCATTTATCATATAGTTACTATATATCTAGCAGACCGATCTGCATACAAATCAAGCGTCTTCCGATTGATTCCACTGGTTGTTGATCTGGCCCTTCCCACCTATATAATAGTATAGCTAGGCGTAGATTATCCGGTAAGCTACGTAGTATTTCTTCATGATTTCAAGTTCCGGTGCATGTCTTGCTTTATCCAGCGTAGGCATGCACTAGTCACTCTCCTGTATCTCCAGCAAGGATCACTGAGACTATGCATCTAGATTCCATAGATGTTGTATACTATAACTGTCTTCGCTCATTAGTAGGTTTACAGTGTTTATCACTCTCCTTCTCCATTATTTCGACACAAGCAACGCTAACAACGGAATTTCAATTTCGAGACTCGAATATAACTGAAGAAAATATGAGGAGGCCGGCGACCGAAACCAATATCTCCGACGTCGATTCATATATTGGATTGACGATGAATCTTCGCAGTGTTGGGCTTAAAGGATATGAACATGTTACTACTGAAGATAAGAAAATCGAAATCAACACAACAAAACAAAAGGAATGATGCTAGAACGTCAAAGAAAGCAGGCAGACGAAATTCAAAAGTTGAAGCAAATCTGAGGATAACGTCCCATGGCTCGGATAAGAAAACCTAGTATCATCATCTTGAAAGTTGTACCGGCTTCATATTCTTTGCCGTTCTCGCTAAACCAAGAAAGCCTCGCCAACCTATGGCGACTTGTATCCTCATCTAACCCCTCAGTGTCGACAATGACGAGGGAAATCCAATCAAAGATAGCGACATCTTTTACTTTGAGGTTCTTGAGATATTTCTTCACTTGCTGGATGAATATCTTGCCGTTTTCGACCAAGAGAGTTCCGGATGCTTCATAGTGAGCACTCTCCAACAATTCACTCTCTTCATCGTCGGTTGTAGCGATGGCCACCTTGAAGTCATCCCAAGAAAGGAGATGAGGAGCTTTCATTTCAAGCACAGCAAAATGCACAAGGGCTCCACTGGGTGGATAGTACATCCATTGATAATCAGCTCGCATATTTCCTTTTTGTGTCCACTCAAGATGGGATTCGATATGACCATCCTTCAACTTGGTGTTTATGATATGGTTGATGGGGTAGAAAAGATGTAATATTGATTGCGTCATGATGTCCGCTTCGGTTTTGATAGTCCTTTTCAACGGAATATTCGTGGATTGATGAAGTATACTACTATTCGCTTGACGAATCCTTAGAAGATGATCGCGCCCTCTATCCAAAAGCAAAATAGGATCCTCTGATCTCAATGCCCGAAGGGGTTCCTCGGCCTTAGTTGAGGTCGAAGTGGTAGAGACTTTTCGGTACACGGCGGATTTGTCCACTGAGAGGATGTTCGGGAGAGGACAAAAGAATGTACGGTAGATATTTTCACTCGACATCTTGAAGTAGGATGATCTGAATGAGTAGGAAATGGGAGTCTGTTGGCCTTGACTTGCTGGCAGTTGGGCCAATTTGTATGTAGTCTTGTAGAATCTTGTACAACTGCGTACAACTGCGTACAACTGTGTACAGGTGCATACAACTATGCACAATTGTGTATAATTGGGTACAACCGCATACATCTGCATACACCAGTGTACATCTGTGTATGACTGCATACATCTGCGTATATCTGCGTACGACTGCGCATATCTGCGTCCATCTGCATCCAAATTTGCTTTATTAATACAGTGTGAGCCTCTTGAGATTGTGCTCTTGCCAATCTCGTTCAAAGGCAATTTTCTTCACCCCATCTTCACTATCTGGAGAGCGAAATGGCGCTATCTTTAGATTACAACACATTAAATGACATACCCAAACCGGATCTTCCGTACACCAAGGGCTACGAGTTTTCAGTGATCGAACATTTTCCTCCTGAACCCCACATCAAGAGCTTCAATCTCACTCCAGATGAAGCTGCTAAGAGAGAAACTATTGATGTTTTAACCCGCGCTCTTACACGAAAACCGATACCCGGTCAGCAGGGCTCTAAGCGTCTACGTCTCAAGATATGTGATACTATTCGAGTCGGCGATGGAAAGACTTCCCAAATAGTTTTGGTGGATGTTATATCAGGGGAACTTTCCAAGACCCACATTGTTGCAAAACTGTATGATCCTCTATATTATGATCATTCAAATGATGATGTGGATCCCTTTATTTTCATTGATGTGGAATACACCCGGGAAAATGCTGCCTATAGATATTTACATGGCAAAAAACAGAACGGTATCCCTGACTTTTATGGCTCTTATTCTATGGACATCCGCTATTCCGATCACCAATCTCGCACGGTACGATTGATATTGCTTGAATATATCAGTGGAGATTTTATGACTACTCTTGATCCAAACAACTTTTGCGATCGCTTTTGGAAAACCGTGATGAAGCAAATTGTTGATCTGGAATCGCAACTCTACAAGATCAATTTAAGACACGGTGATGTGCATCCACGGAATGTCATTATTAAAAATCATGACATCAAACTGGCTGAACCCGGGGTTATATTCATTGATTTTGGATTTGCATCTATTGGTCGTTCTCCTAACCCACAGAACAATATTTATGAAAAGAAATTTCTGCCGGGGGTTTATATCAGTCCACTTCTGAGGTGGTTTAAGGCTCGGGGTAGGGAACCTATTTGTAATTTTGAGAACTGGATAACATGGGATTGGAATGGGTGGCTATTGGGAAATTATCTCTTTGACAAGGAAAATATAACACCTGAGATGATACGGAAGTGGCTCCCACCCAGCATGCGCCAGCAGTTTCAGAGTTTGATTGAATCTAGTTAGTACTATGGGGTTTTGTTTTCTTCAATACCTTTACTTGTCTAATATCTGCCTATCCTGGAAAGAGTTATCTCCTGGATGACAAATGTGGATATCTGCAATGACTATGTCGAAGAGACACCGCTGCATTTTTGGCGATAACATTTAATTCCGAGGAGGAGTTTGAATCTGCCTGTGGAATTTCATTACCTTGATAAATAATTTCATGCCCCATCATTATATTCTTCCAAATTGAACAGTTTAATTTGATCGTGAATACGCTCCTTTATCTCTTAAACCGCCAGGTGGAGGTCACTAGTCAGAACCAACGCCGGATCACCATCTTACTGATAACAGAATAACGTCTATGGCAGGTAATATGATACAATTGAAGTGGTCATCATGTACTCAATATATACAATCGTGAATGTCATCATCATGGCTTCGTGGAAGGAAAGTTGCCCGTCCCTAAGATATCTCCGTCGCTCTCTTTTCCGTTCATCGCACGGTCAATGCGGAATTGTGTCGTCTTGAAGAGTCGGGCATGTCCGTCTCCTCAAAAGAAACCTTCTCCACCACCATACGCGCCAACTCCTGCGCCGACCGCCAAATTACCGGCATGCCGTGTCCGTTGAATCCGGCCAGAATGAACTGATCGTTCTTGCCAGGCACAGCTCCAATATGGGGATTTGAATCATAGGAATATCCCATGACTCCCGTCCAGATCTTGTCAACGTGGGCCCCGCTGTTTTCCCACCCTCGATATGTCCGCTGCATGTACCCGTCGTAATAGTCCTTGGCCGAGTCAATGAGAATGCTATCATCGACGTTGTTGTACCACTGGTCCTGGAACGGACGGAACTTGGATGACGCGCCTCCGACGATGATACTGCCATCAGGACGGGGAATCAGGTATGATAGGGTGTTGTCTTCCGTTCGGTTAATATAGGAGTTGTTCAATAGCGGAGCAGTGGTTCCCTCGGGAACAGTGATACGACAGCAAATTCCCTTGCAGGGGATAATGTTCTTCTCATATTCCGGGAGAAGACCGGCGACGTAGGCATTGTTGGCGTGGATGACGGTGCCGGCGTGAATTGTGCCGCGGGGGTTTCAATGCTGTATCCGCCCTCAGTGCTGGGCTTGATAGCAGTCGCCGTGGTGAATGTTTGCAAGTTAAGCTTGCCGGTCGCGAGAGAGGATTTGAGGATATGCAGGATGAATTTGTACGGCCACATCGTGCCCGCTGTGAACGAGGCACAGGCCAAGGCACCTTTGACACCACAGATCTATTCGGTCAGTTGTATCCCAAATCTGGGGGGATGAACTTACTCCCTCGACATTCTTGCCCGTGTAAAAGGCCACGTCATTCATATACTCCAGGTCCAACGACTTCATGCGCTCATAGACGGCCTTGGCCTTTTGTGCTGCCTCCTCGTTGCACCATACGTCAATGGACCGCGCCAGAGTAAAGTCGCAGTCGATGTTCTCCTCCTCAATGACCTTCTTCATGGCGTGTAGATGGGAGATTTCAAACTCGGCGATCTCAGCCCCGGCACGAACCCCAGCGCGATCGACGTAGGTTGGAATGTGACCGTAAAAGTCCGGTCGGAGATGACCGCCATTGCGACCGGTGGCACCAGAGCATGCTCCTCGAGCTTCCAGAATGGTGATAGATTTGATCCTCTCGCCGTGATCACGCAGCAGGTGGTAGGCGGTGCTGGCGCCCGCGTAACCGGCACCGATAATGACAATGTCGGCGTGCTCGGGGAGCTGCTCGGTAGAGCGAAAGTCGTTCAATTCATGAGGCTCGGTTTGCCAGAAACACTCGCCGGGGTTGGGGACAGGGAAGCAGTTGGAGGGAGGCATGATGGATTCCTAGACAAAGACAGATGGGGGGTGAAGGAGGAGGAATGGTGAAGAGGAGAAATTGAAGGTGGTGATTTGGGATGGCGATAAGGGTCTTATCTGATGCTATCCACCGGACCGGACTTGCCTATCGCGGGCTAGCATGCATCTTATCGGCCGGTGCCGGGGTTTCCTTAATAGGCAGCTGGGGCCGGTGGATTTGCTCCGACTGCTGCTAAACGCAGGCTAGACACGATTAGGCCTCATGATGGATCGCCATGCGCTGGACCAACGGGAGATTACCCATTTGCAATGCGGCGATTGGGCACCAACATATACAAGGGCTGACTGCCGTTGCTCTACAGTCTCTCCTGCTTGTTCCTCACCTGCATCATGGATCGTTCCAGTACCCCTGAGAAGAAACCTCATTATATCGATGAAGAAGATGGGGACCTTGAGGCCGCCGCCGCCTCCCAGCTGGATGAGGCTCAGGTCTTCCAGCAAGGCCTTCACCAGCGCCATATTCAGATGATTGCCCTGGCCGGCACCATTGGCACGGGTCTGTTTCTGAGTTCGGGACGCGCCATTGCCCATGCCGGACCGTTGGGAGCGTTTCTGGCCTACTCGATCATGGGACTGGCGGTGTCGAGCGTGGTGTTTGCGGTGGGAGAAATGGGGGCGTTGGTGCCGCTGGCCGGCGGGGTGATTCGCTACGCCGAGATCTTCGTCGACCCCGCCCTTGCTTTCGCCAACGGATGGAACCAGATCTATTCCTACCTCGTATCGATTCCCTCGGAGATTGTCGCTGCGGCGGTGGTCATTGAGTTCTGGACCACCATCAACAACGCAATCTGGATCACGGTGTTTGGGCTGCTGATGTTGATCACAGCCCTGCTGTTTGTGCGCGTCTACGGCGAGCTGGAATTCGGGTTCTCCATCCTCAAGATCATGCTCGTCATTGGCATTAACCTCATGGCCCTTGTGATCACCTGCGGTGGTGGCCCTAACCATACCAGCATTGGCTTCCGTTACTGGCGCGACCCGGGCCCTTTCGTTCAGTACCTTAACATCGGCGGCTCTCTGGGACGATTCCTCGGTTTTTGGACGGCATTGAACAGCGCGCTATACTCCTACTCGGGCATCGAAAACATTACGATCGCGGCGTCGGAAACACGCTCACCCCGTCGGTCGATTCCCATGGCCGCGCGGCGCATCTTCGTCCGGATCCTGCTGTTCTACGTTTTGACCATGTTTATGATCGGACTGGTGGTGCCATCCAACGACCCTGACTTGCTGGGATCCTCGGGCACAGCGTCCGAGTCGCCTTTTGTGATTGCGGCGCGCAATGCTGGCATCAAGGTGGTGCCGTCGATTATCAACGCGGTGGTGCTCACGTCGGCATGGTCGTCAGGCAACTCCAACATGCTGGGGGGGTCACGCGTGATGTACGCCATGGCTGCAGAGGGCCATGCCCCGAAGTGGTTCATGCGGATGAACCGGTTCGGCATTCCTTGGGTGGCCGTGACCATTCTGGGCATCTTCATGGCACTGGGCTACATGACGCTGTCCAGCTCAGCCAGTACAGTGTTCACCTGGCTGCAGGATATTGTCTCCATTGCCACCTTGGTGAACTGGGGATGCATCTGCATTGTGTATTTACGGTTTTACTACGCATGCAAGAAGCAGGGCATCGATCGACACAAGGAGCTACCCTGGGCGGCGCCCTTCCAGCCGTGGAGCACATGGATTACCTTGGGGCTTTTCAGCATTTTGTTCCTGACGGGCGGCTACACGACATTTATCCACGGGCACTGGGATACTGAGACTTTCATCTCTTCGTATCTCAACGTGCCGATTATCTTTGTGTTGTACTTTGGTTACAAGTTGTGGATGAAGTCGAAGATTATCCCGTTGGAGGCAGTGCCGGTGCGGCCATTCATCCAACATTACCAGGAAAACCCAGAGCCGGAGCCAGAGCCCAAACGGGGGTGGCAGCGATTGAACTTTTTGTGGTCTTGATTTCTCTCTGTTATGTATATGTGTATTTAGCCGGTCGTATCTACCAGATCTTAATGTATATATTTCCACACTCCTCTCATCTCATCCCTAATATGCTTCACGCGGTCTGTCGAAGCCACATCCAAAGCCTCCGATACGATCACTTACTTTCCTCGTAGTATGCCCAGGCACTGATTAGCTATCTAACTGAAGGATCGAACTATCAGATTAACGGCTGAGTCAAGATGATAACCGCCAGCTATCAAGCTTATCAGCTATCTGCTATCTCGTATCACCCCTGCAGCAGGCATCGTAATCTCACGCCCTAACCAACTAGCGCCGACTAGTGCCTCAGCTGCATGGCATGGGATGGAGTCACCGGCCCGTCCTGCTTATCTGGGATGGCCTGCCCGGTATCGGCCATGTCAACCCCTCCTATTTGATTCATCTCCCCGCATCCATCACTACCACCATCACCACCATCACCATCACCACAACCTACCATACCTCACCCCTACCACTTCTACCACCACCACCATGGCCAACCACGTCGTCTTCGACGTCGTAGGAACCTGCGTCTCCTTCACCGCCTTCTACCGCACCATCGAAAACACCCTAGGCCCTCAACTCCGCGCCCACAACCTCACCGCCCAAACCCTCGGTTTCACATGGATGACCAACGCCGAACTCCAATTCACCTTCCTATCCATATCCGAAAGCTACAAACCATATAAACTCGTGCTCACGGAACTATTCTACCAAACTCTCCACATGATCGGCATTTCCGATCCCCATTCTTTCGCCACGTCTGAACAACGGGATCTTTGCGTGGAGGGATACTCCG